ATTGTCAGGGTTAGTTGGCGGCGGAGAGGAGGAGGAAGAGGCAGGCGGGGGGACGATGGTTGGTGCCGTTCGAGAGGCGCAGTTAATCCGAAGATGTCCAACAAGTCCGATTCGAGCCCGGAATGTCCGTTGACATCGAGAACACGTTGGAAGCGGTTGTGCGGCGGCGTTGCTTACTGGGCGAAGTTGTGATTTGCGGGCTTCACGTTTCGCTTTGGCGGCAGCGATGCGGTTGGCTTCGTATATCGCAGCGCCTGTCTTCTCTGTCCTCCTCTAGGTCGGTCGATCAAGTGCGAGCTCCTCCCAGTTGGTCGGGTTGATTTGCAGGCATTTCAGGGAGGACTTCAGGGTATCCTTGTAACGGCGAATCTGGCCTCCTTGACGGCGAGAACCCGTCGCGACGTCTCCGTAGAAGAGTCGTTTGGGTAGTCGCTCGTCGTCCATGCGCACCAGGTGGCCGCTCCAGCGCAGCTGAATTTGCCTCAGTATGGCGTAGATGCTGAGGATTCCCGTCCGTTCCAGCACATCAGTGTCGGGGATTCGATCCTGCCAGTTCAGCCTCAGGATGCGACGAAAACAACTGAGGTGGAAGTGGTTCAGACGACGCGCCTGCTTTGCGTACACCGTCCAAGTCTCCGCTCCATACAGTAGTGTCGGCAGGATGACGGCCTTGTACATCTTCAGCTTCGTGCTCAGCTGAAGACCGTGGCGATTCCAAACTGTGCTTTGGAGGCGACCGAAGGCTTGACTGGCTTTCGAGATCCTGTTGGCGACTTCGTCGTCGATCTTGGTGTTGCGGGAGAGAGTACTGCCCAGGTATGGGAAGTTCTCCACCACATGCAGTTGGGTCCCATCCACGCTGATTTGCGGCGGCGCGTTGGGGGCTGTGGCCGAGTTGGGTGGCGGTTGGTGCATCACCACCGTCTTCTGCGTGTTAATGACCAGACCGAAATTCTCACAGGCGGCGGAGAACAGGTCCATGCTCCGTTGCATCTCCTCTTCCGAGGTGGTGTTCAGGGCGCAGTCGTCGGCAAAGAGGAGTTCGTGCACGGTGGTTGTGGATACGCGCGATTGGAAGTGCATCCGCCGTTGATTCAGGAGGTGACCGTCCGTCCTCTAGGCGATGCGGATCCCGGGGCGTTCATCACGGTAGGCGTCCATCAGCATGGTGGAAAACATAAGGCTGAAGAGGGTAGGCGCCAGTACGCAGTCTTGCTTCACTCCATTGGTCACTGCGAATGCCTCTGAGACAGCTCCGTTGTCCGTGACTCGCGCCATCATACCGTCGTGCAGCTGACGCACCATCTGAGTGAATCGCTCCGGACAGCCGAATTTCTGCATGATCTTCCACAGTCCTTCACGATTCACCGTGTCGAAGGCTTTCGTCAGGTCCACGAAGGTAGAGTACAGGTGGGTCCGCATCTTCTGACACTTCTCCTGAAGTTGACGGGCGGCGAAGATCATATCCGTGGTCCCACGATGACAACGGAAGCCGCATTGGCTTTCCGGCAGAAGGCCCTGTTCCAGATGGTTGTTGAGGCGGTTGAGCAGGATGCGAGCGAAGATCTTCCCGGCGATGTTCAGCAGGGAGCTGCCGCGGTGATTGTCGCAGACTTGGCGATTCCCTTTGCGCTTGTAGAGATGCACGATGGTTGCATCTTTGAAATCTTGCGGGACTTTACCTTGACGCCACATCTCTTGGAAGAGCGCAGTCAGGTGATCCATTAGTTGGGGACCTCCGTGCTTGTAGACCTCAGCAGGGATCGCGTCCGATCCGGGTGCTTTCCCGCTGGAGAGCTGCTGCACGACCCTGATCGTTTCCTGGAGAGATGGCGGGAGCTCGAGGTCCACGTTGGTCTCCACTTGCGGCAAACGCTCGATGGCGGCGTCAGAGATGGCGGAAGGGCGGTTGAAGACGCCTCGAAAATGCTCGGCCCATCGCTGCAGGATTTGCGTCTTCTCAGTCAGGAGAGTGTTGCCGTCGGCGTTGAGGAGAGGAGCGGTGCCCTTCGTCGGCGGACCGTAGACAGCTTTGATCGCAGAGAAGAAGTTCTTCCATTCGTTGCGGTCCGCGTAGCCTTGGATCTCCTCAGCTTTGCGAACAGTCCAGGCGTCCTGCATCTCGCGCAGTCGTTGCTGAAGTTGGCGGCGACTGCGGTAGAAGGCAGCTTTGTTGTCCTCAGTGGGGTGATCTACGTAGGCTTTGTGTAGGCGGTTCTTCTCAGCAAACAGAATTCTTATGGCAGCGTCGTTGTCGTCGAACCAATCCTGGTGTTGGCGGGGAGCGCGACCGAGGACGGCGAGCGCCGTCGACTGGACCGTGTCTCGCAGTTGACACCAGCGGTTCTCCACGGAGGCGTTCTCGGCAGCGGCGGCGGCGTCGTCGGCGGCGGCAGCGATAGGAAGGTTGTCTAGCCTTTGTGCTAGCTCATTGCTGAAATGAAGATGGTGAGCGGGCAAAGACAACAAGGCAACATTCAGCTTACCTGGGGGTCGCTTACCTTGTGGTCTCCTGCGAGGCTGTAGGCGAATACGCATCTTCGAGATGACGAGGCGATGGTCGGTCCACGCGTCAGCACCCGCGATCGCCTTCGTCACCAGCACGTCCCGCTGATCTCGCCTCCGGACGAGGACATAGTCCAGCAGGTGCCACTGGCGCGAACGAGGATGCCTCCAGGTGGTCTTCTCTCGCTCCGGCAGACAGAAGAACGTGTTCGTCAGGATGAGGCGGTGTTCTGCGCAGGTGCGGAGAAGCAGCAGACCATTGTCGTTTGAGCCGCGGAGACCGTGGGGACCCAGCACTCCTCTCCAGGCAGTATGGTCTGTGCCGACACGGGCGTTGAAGTCGCCAAGAACAATCAACTTGTCCGCCTTCGACACAGTCGCCAAGAGGGCGTGCAGGTCCTCGTAGAATTTGTCTCTGACGGCGTCGGGGTTGGTCATCGTCGGAGCGTAGGCGCTGATGATGGTGGCGAATTTGCCTCCCCAGAGAGGCAGGCGGAGGCTCATCAGGCGATCGTTGATGCCCTGCGGCAAACAGGGCAGTCGTCCCACGATGTCGTTCCGAATGGCGAAGGCGACGCCCGCGTCCCGTCGCTCTGTCCTGGGTCGACCGCTCCAGAAGAAGGTGTAGCCGGCACCCACCTCCTCCAGTTGGCCTTGTTCGGAGAAACGGGTCTCGCTGAGTGCGGCGATGTCCACCTTGTAGCGCGCCAGTTCTCGTGCCACTAGCGCCGTCCTCCGCTCCGGTCGGTTGCTCCTCGGATTGTCTAAAAGGGAACGAACATTCCAGGCTGCCAGAGTGAGCGCGCTCACCCTGCCAGTCTGGTGACAACGAGTGGGGCGAGGGGAAGGAGATGGAGAAGAAGATGACGAAGGAGAAGAATAGGCAGAAGAATAGACGGAGGTAGAGGAAGAAGAGGTAGGATGAGGAGAGTGAGTATGATTGTTGTTGTTGTTATTGGTATTGTTGTTGTTACGATTTTGATTGTTTCGACCATGATAAGACGTCTGCGGCCCTGGCTAGCCTGGAAACGGCGTGGTACCCAGCAATGTTTAGGCCACCTTTTCTAGGCCCTTCCCCTCGTGGGGGCTGGCAGTGCCATCCCTGAATAGGGCTGCCATGTGCCGTTGTGGCACGGCCGAACTCCACTATGGGACCACGACTTCGGGTTGTAGTGGAGAGCGACTCGAATTCGCCGTAAGCCGCGGTCTCCGTCGGCGAGGGTGGGCGCGTCAAGGCGATGTCGATGTGGAGATCCATCCCGTCACCGGCTGTCAAGCGACGTGCCGAGACGAACCACGTCACGACGGTGCCGACGCAAGGTTTCATCCGACCTTCCATCCAGCGGAATCCGCAAACCCTGTGCACACGGCACAGCGCACAGGGCCCCCTCACCTGGTTTAGCCCGCCGGTCGAGACGGTTGCCCGGGGTGTGGCCGCTGAGCAGAGCCCAGCTACGTGGAGCCACAGGTGAGAGTTGAGTGCCAGCAAGTGGACGCTAGGCGCAGTCTCACCTGCAAGCAAGTGAGCGACCACCACGACCATTACGTGAACCCACCGCTGACACCCCTACACCCCCCCTGACACCAATACTGGCCCAAACAGTAACCCTGCATTAAGCCCTAGCCCTAGCTCTAGGTGAGTTAGGCCTACGCACTCTCTAGGTCGGATTGACGAATACACTCCTCCACTCGTGTTAAATATCCAAAGCAAGCACTGCACTTCTTCTTCCTCATCCGAGTAGGTCTTTTGGGTGATTAGGAGTGCATTATCTGATAGCTGAGGAGAAGCTACTTGGAATTTCCGATCTCAAAAAAAGGAAATTCGGTTTCCTTTGCTCGCCAACATTCACCCATGTAGTATCACTCATCCGAAAGGAACTGCATTCAGTAAGTGCTGAAAGCTGAAGTCATTTAATGAAAAGTAAGGTTCTGAATCAAAGTCTCGATATGCACTTTTGATCTCAAATTCCAGTCACATTTCTAGATGATGAAAAATGCGATTCCCAGATGGCGCGTCAAAAGAAGAAGGGGCATTCACCATGAGGAGTTTATCTGAGGTCAAATGTTCAAAGAAGCGATTTCGCCTACCCATATTCGAAGAATGGAGAGCCTTGGGCATATTTCTCCCTCCATGGCACATCTTCTGCTGATGTTGGACGTTTGATCTGCATTTATAACGAAATTGACTTAACTCAGAAAGCCTCTCTGGCGTCTATACCGTGGTCTGTGTCTACCATGTGCGCGAGGATCGAGCTGT